AGTAGGTGATGTGTCTCCCATTGTCCGTGAGGGCCTTGAACACTTCCAGTCTCTCGTGGAGGTCTTCATTAGAGGGGTAATCCTTGATGACCTTGAAGAAGAGGGCCCTGAGAACGCCCAACCGGTCCCCCTAAAGATAGAAGCACACGCTAAGCAGTTCTGCCAGGACCCCCGCCAGTGGGATTTCCCACACAGCCATACACAGTCCAAGTACAGGGGGCTCTAGGACTCCCGACCCTGGGACCCTTTCTATCCTTCCCACAGGCACTGGCTGTAAACGACAAACTGGGCATGTCGGAGCGGCTCCAGATAAGGGGTGTGTGTGTGTGTGCACGTGCATGTGCACTCATGTGCACAGCACCTACTGTGTAGGAGCTCTGGGTATGGCAGTGAACACACAGCAGGGGATAACGCAGTTCCAGCCCTCCTGGGGCTCATGGCCAAGAAGAGACACGCTTGTGCCCGCACGTGACAAAAACAGTCTGACTACTCTGCGAGGTGACAGGCCTCTCCACGTGGCAGGGGTGTGGAGGGCTGGAGGAAATGCACAAGACGGAAGGGAGCCTTACAGGCAGAAATGCAGAGGCCGCCTGCAGTTCTAGGAAAGGCTCAGAGCAGCATGGCCACAGCCCGGAGCACAGTGAGCCATGGACACAGGCCCAGGCCAGGGGCATGAGGGCATCAGGAGGCCACCCGTCTCTCATGGTGGGCACATCCCCGTCATTTTGCATGAACGGCCTCATCGACATCCCAAAACATTCCAGAGAAGGCAGGAAAAACAGCCATCCCCATTCTGAGGGAGAGGAGGTGGAGGCCCAGTGACTTGCCCGGGGTCCCCTGGGTTCAAGAGGCTGGGGTGCCCACTCAGGCAGTCGAGCTGCAGAGACCTGGTGCCAGATGCCCTCCCCAAAGACCAGAGTCCACGCGTGGCACAGCGGGAGCAGTCCGTGGCCGCCCGACGTCATCCCACCCCCCCCAGGCCAGCTCCACCTGCACACAGACCCGCTGCCCCTTACCTGCCCCTGCACGATGGCCTTCAGCAGAGCCAGCACCGCATGCCGGGCCTCCGGGGGCCGCTCCGGGTGCAGCAGGTCCGCCACGGCCTTCCACAGCGCCTCCACTGCATGCTGCCGCCAGCAAAGAGGGACAACGGTTAGAGGGTGCTGGCCCCCTCCACTCAAGGCTCAGTACCATGAGCAAAGGACAGAGAACAGTTCTTCTGACTTAGAACTCACTCCCCTAAAGCCCACACGTCGTGCACCTGTCACAGTGCACGTGACCCGGAGCCTGCCGAGGGGAACGGCTGCAAGCTACTTCAAACCCGCACAGGTCCTGGCCACAGCCTGGGTGGCAGGGGTTGAGTGGGGAGAGGAGAGCAGCAGGCCAGGGGAGCTGTCCTGGTGCCCCCAGGGATCGGCCAGGAGTCCCCCTTTACAGTGTGCTCCGACTCCAGTGAAGAAAGCCACTGAAAGAGTCTCAGAACCAGGCGGGCCTGGGTCTGCAGCCTGACCCAGAAATCCCATTCCCCTGGCCTCTCTGTACCACACGCCTGCCAAGCCTGTGCTGCTGAGAACGCTGTGGGCTTCTGGAATCTGCTTCCCAGGGTACCTGGGTCCTGTTCCCTGCAGCTACCCAGAATAAATCTCTCTTGTCACCTTCTCTGCCCCACATTAACCGTCCCGTGCTCCCTTCAATCAGAGTTTTCAGACCACTCAAACTTTCCTGGACTTACTTCTCTTAGGAGGGGACTAAAACATCCTTTGGATGTTGTCTGACCCACATCCTGACCGTTTCAGGATACTATGGAACTTTCACCTCCTTTATCCTACGCACAACACTCCTAGTGACAAAGCCTATGCCACAAGACGCAAATCCCGACCCGGGGGACTCTGCCAGCCTCTCAGGGTTATCTATCTATTCAGTCACAGCCCCCGCTCCTGCCCCAAATACCTATGCAGCCAACTTTATGGACGCAGAAACCTATGTTCACGTTTATCCTCAGTAACGTATGGCCTGCATGTTTCAGATGACCTGTGGATGTCGTGGTTGCTCTCCCCTCCCCCTCAGCAAATCCCAATCGGCTTGGTCCACGACTCCTCCCAAGTTGCCCATATAATCTCCGGGCCAAGCTAGAGCAGAGCCCTCATGACAACTTCCCAGCCTGTCCTCAGGATGCCCGGAGAGAGCCTGCAAACATCTCCCCGAAATAAATAGGCTTATGTCTGTGAGGTTGCTCAATGCCACCAACTAGACACCTCTCCCAAAAAGACACCGGAAATGGCATGCCTTGAGTCACGCGGTTTCCTGATATTCCCTTACTTTTCTTGGGATATGAAAAACCAAGTAAGCATGCGTTTATGCAAGTCACTATTAAAGCCCTTCTCGGAACTGCCGGAAAAACCTTAATGCCTTTGCTCCCCACCTCCACGTGTGAGTGACCCCTAAGGGTTATGCTCAGAGCATTTCCAGAAGCTCCCCTAAAAGGGTGCGTAAGTTAGCATTAGTAGTCAGCGGTCAACCCTGCTCCTAGAAAGAGCCAAATCAGACTTCTCAACAGCAGCCAACTGAGGCAGACTTACCTCTTCAAATTTCTTCGTTTTTGCAACTTCACAGATCTGCCCTATCACCCGGATGCGATTGTTGATACCACATTCAACACTCAGTTCCTGGCAAGAGAGGAAAGAAGCAAAGGGGCCAGCGCTCAGGCAACGGTTCTCCTTAACCACCAGTCATCACAGACCACCCCGAGAATTCCCAGACTGGAGACCTGGCCCGGCTCGTTCTGAAATCGGGGACCACGAGAGTTTACGACTCTGTCTCAGGGGGTGAGAACAGACTACTTCTCTTTTTCATGACATTTTGTTGTGTTGAAATAAAATTCACATACCAAAATTAGCTGTTTGAACAATTTAAAACTGTACAATTTAGCTTTTAGTATATTCACGAGGCTTGCAACCACCTCCACTGACTCCCGAATATTTTCATCCCCTAAAAGGACAACTTCACACCCATTAGCAGTCACCACCCCCATCCCCTCAGGCCCCGACAAATGCTGATCGACTTTCTGTCTCTAAGGATTCACCTATTCTGGACATTTCATAGAAATGGAATCACACATTATGTGGGGGCCTTTGTGTCTGGCTTCTTCCACTTAACATGTTTTCAGTGTTCATCCACATTATGGCATGTGTCAATACTGCATGCCTTGGGCGCCTGGCTGGCTCAGTTGTTAAGCATCTGCCTTCGGCTCAGGTCATGATCCCAGGGTCCTGGGATCGAGCCCCGCATCTGGCTCCCTGCTCGGCGGGAAGCCTGCTTCTCCCTCTCCCACTCCCCCTGCTTGTGTTCCTTCTCTCACTCTCTCTCTCTCTGTCGAATAAATAAATAAAATCTAAAAACAAAAACATTCTAAAAAAAAAAATACTGCATGCCTTTTTTCCCAAGTAATACTCCATTGTACGAATGTTATCACATTTTGTTTATCTGTTCACCAGCTAACGAATATTTTGGTTGTTTCTGAATGGGAAACCTCAGGAGTGCAGAAACTCAGCATTTATAAAACACGGTGCCAGGGGGCGCCTAGGTGGCTCAGTTGGTTAAGCATCTGCCTTCAGCTCACGTCATGATCCCAGGGTCCTGGGATCAAGCCCCGCATCCGGCTCCCTGTTCTGCGGGAAGTCTGCTTCTCCCTCTCCCACTCCCCTTGCTTGTGTTCCCTCTCTCGCTGTGTCTCTTTCTGTCAAATAAATGAATAAAATCTTTAAAAACAAAACAAAAAAACATGGTGCCAGGACATGGTAGGGGGATTCAAATACACACCGGAAAACAAAGACCCGCTCGTTCCAGGAACTCACAAATTACCAGGTTAACACCTGGCTATAACCCTAATCACCTGTGGAAACCAAGCATGGCGTTTCAGCCATGGCTAGTAAAGTAGGTTCTCCTGCATGGACATCCTAGTACTACCTCAAGTGTGCTAGACGCAGTCCCCAAGGTCCTGACTTCCTGCACCTTGGAAGGAAAGATGTACAGGCTTCCACAGCACTGGGGACAGCAGTCCCACCTCCCACAGAACCTGGTGACAGACGGAACCCAGCCTGCCCTGCACCTCCCAACAGCCTAGCAGGGTAGACAGTGCAGCTCACTCACTCTCAGGATGTCCGCCGTGATGATAAACTCCGTCTGTTTGCCCTCTGCAGACCTGGGGTTTGGCCTCGGGGTTCCCAGTCCCAAGAGAATCCTGAACTTCTCCTTCAAGCCTGAATCTTTGCTTGTTGGCTTGGCCATGATGGGCAGGGACGCAGCAGAGGCCGCTTCTGCGCGGAGAAAACAGGCGGAGAGCTCAGGACAGCTCCCCGCACCTGTCCCGCTGCCGACCTCCGGCCGCCCGCCCGGGAAGCCTAGGTCTCGGGTGGGCACGACCCTGCCACAGCTCCCGGGAGGAACTCAAGCACAGCCTGGCGGTCCCGGCCAGCAGCGGGCACCGGGTGAGGGAGGGGAACCGACGCTCGCCCTCCCTCTCCTCCCCGACGTGGGGGAGTCCTGTCCCGGACGCCGGAAGCTGGGCGCCCCTCGCACCCGCTCCGTCTTAAAATCCAGGACTGCTCGAGCGGCTCCAGGCCGAAGGCCGGGGCCGTGACACTGTGGGGTCCGCCTCCGCCGCCTCTGCGCCGAGCAGCACCTCCCCTCTCCCCGGCGCGGCCGCCGCCCCCTGCCCCATCGCGGCCGGGCCACAAGGTGGACCGGGCCGGCGTCGGCGGTCGGGGGCCCGCGAGCCACTCACCCCATGCCGCGCCCGCCGCGCGGCCGGGCCGTCCCCGCGCGGAGAAGGGAACGCAACCCTGGCCCCCCCAACCCCCGAGGCGCCGCCGGAAGCTTGGTCAGCACTTCCGGCAGCGGACAGGGCCCGAGCGCCGCCGCCGAGCTTGCTGGGAGTCGTAGTTCCCGACCGTTCTCGGCGGAAAGTCGAGTCACATGACGGGGCCGCGGGGGCCGCCGGGATGTGTAGTGCGCAGGACTCTGGCATGAGCATGGCGAGCGTGAGGATGGTGACCCGGAGCCGGAGCCAGGGCCCGGGGGCCGGGCCGCGGGGGGGTGGGGAGGAGGCTGCGCCGCTCCGGAGGGGAGAGGCGGCTGCAGGTAGCCCGGCGCCCGGACCGGGGCATGGGGAGAGAGACGAGGGAAGAAGCCTGCAAGGGGCCGGGGGCAGGGATTCCGAGTCGCCCCCACGTGGGGCTCTCCCACCCTGCTGCCTGTTCCCAGGACGCAGGGGCAGGGGTCCACAGGGACTGAGTTCCGGGCGCTCGCACCTCCCCCACCCTCGTCCTGAACAAGAAAGTTCTCCGCGTCCCGGTAGCCTGTCCGGGGATACTCCACTTGGGCCAGGATTTCTGTGGGCACACCAGCCTTGTCCTTCTGGCTGCTTCTCTCTCAAAGAGACCAGGTGCCGAGGACACGCCCAGCCAGAAGTCCTCTTCCCCTGCTGGAGGGTGCCTCTGAGAGGAAACGGGAAAGGGCGTTGTCTTCGTTCTGTTTATTCTGCAGGCATTAAGGACCTAGTGTGTACAGGACTGGCGGAGGGGGGAGGTGAGGGAGACCCACAGGGCCCCTGCAACAGGGCAGCCAGAGAGGGATTCTCCTAGGCACCCAGTGAACTTAGGGGTAGTCCAGACAAGGAGATCCACTATGACAGAGGCATGGCAGGAGGAAATGGGGCAAGGGGAGTAAGTAGGTAACAATACCAGCTAGGTAGGCAGGACCCTTGATGCTGGGTTGGAGTTTGAAGTTTGCCATGAGTACAAGGAAAAATCAAAGAGCAGTTTTAAACAGAAATGACACAGTCTGATTTGGGCCTTAGAAATGTCTCTCTGGGCCCATGTGGAAATGAGATTGGAGGGGCACCACGGTGGAGGCTGGGGGTAGAGTTGTCCTGTAATAACGCAAACTTGGTCAGGAGGGCAGTGGCATGGGGAAAGCTGACCTGCCCCCAGAGCACATGCTGCAGAGGCCAGAGCAGCCCCAGCTGCGGTAGATGATGGATGGTCATTGAATGAATGATGATGGGTGGTAGCAGGCGGGACAGCACCCACGCCCACCCTCACCTGTGGCCCCTGCTGAATGGCACTTCTTTGCAGAAGAAAAGAAAAGCCACAACCCCACAAAGCGTCAGCGGAAGACACAGAAACTGAGTGTCACCTACGAAGCCTCAGATCATGAGAAAGGAGAAGGCGCCAAACCCCCAGAGGCACCAGGCTGGGAGCCCCGGGACTGGCAGCAGCAGCTGGTGAACATCCGTACCATGAGAAGTGGGAAGGACGCGCCTGTGGACCAGCTGGGGGCTGAGCACTGCTATGACCCCAGTGCACCCCCAAAGGTAGGCACCCCATCTGCCTGGTGACTGCCTTCTGGACAAGACACTTCCCTCCTCTGTCAGGGCACAGCCTGACCCTGGCAGCTCTTGACTGGCACCCTCACTGGCAGGCGGCACCTCGAGGGGACAGCACCTGGGTCTCAGAGCGCAGGGCAGCATCACCTGCTTCACGGCAGCCACTCGGCGGGTCAGGACTGCCTGTGGCTTGGGGCTTCGTGCTCTGTCTTCCACCAGCACAGTCCTGACCTACCAGGGGAGTTCGTAATGTTTCTTGAGAGAGAAAAAGTTCCTTACACCTCACCGCCTTGGAGCCTGGTTCTTAGACCAGCTTGATTCTAATCCCAACTCCACTACCAGTGACCTGGGTGCATGAACTTCTCGGGGCTTCCGTTTGCTTGTGTGTGTGGTGGGTAGGATAATCTACAAGGCAACAGCAATCACAGTAGCAGGCATTGGCTATCGAGCACCAGGTGTGATTGTAAGTGTTGTGATCGTTTATTTAAGCCTCCCATTAATCTTTGTGAGGCAGGCACTGTTATTGTCCCCATGCTACATATGTGAAAACAAAACAGGCCCAGGCCGGACCCCTCACACAGTCCGTTGGCCAGAGTGGGTGGGAGGCTGATGTCCCACACGTTGGCCAGGGTAACAGATGGAGGTGGTAAAGGGTTTGGCGGGAGCCCGGCCCACAGTGAGCACCCAGGACCTGCCACTACCCTGGTCCCTGTCACCATGCAAACAGGTGCGGAGGTACCAGGTGCTGCTGTCACTGATGCTCTCCAGCCAAACCAAAGACCAGGTAACAGCAGGTGCCATGCAGCGGCTGCGCGCTCGGGGCCTGACAGTGGACAGCATCCTGCAGACAGATGACAGCACGCTGGGCACACTCATCTACCCCGTAGGCTTCTGGAGGGTGAGCCCACAGGCCTGGGAAAGACGTCAGGAGGCCAAGGAGAGGCTGTGGGGGTACAGGAGGCCGGGTGGGGCATCTGAGGCCAAAGGGACCTGGATGTGAGTTCGCAGTAGAGCCCCCTGCCCGTCTGACCAGCAAATGGGGCCAGGGCTATGGGCCCTCCCTCCTTGGCCTTTCCTGTTTGCAGCCCACCCCTTCCTTCCTCCACCTCCCCACCCAGCTGACTGGCGCTTCCCTTCCTCCCTGAGGCTGCCCACCCGCCTTTCCCTTTGTTTACTCCAAGCCTCCCTGGAGTGCGTCACCCCCTTCCCTCTGGAGCCCCAACAGGCCCTAGAGCACTGGGTGGCAAGTGGGCGGCTCTGTTGAAGGCAGCCGGGTGGGTGGGGCTGCTTCCCCTTGGCATTGGCGTGGGCTGCAGTTTGTCAAATGGGTTTTAAATAGTCCTCTCTACTCAGGCACAGAATGGGAGCCACCCAGCTGGCCTGGCGGCTGGCGGGGGAGCCCCAGGCTCCAGGCTTCCTTCCTGAAGGTCCAGGTGCTGCTGAGCCCAGCTCCTGGCATGGCTGGCCCTGCCTAGCTTACCTGGCTTCTGGGGGAGTGATGGGGCAGGGGACCTGAGCTAGACCCCACACACATGTCACTGGTCCAGGCCTGCATTGGGCCTCCCTCAGTCTCCCTGCTGCCCGTGGCTCATTCCCACCTCTTGGGGGGACAGGGACAAACAGGTGCCTCTGAGTGTGTCTAGGGCAGGTGACAGGCAGCTCTGGACACCTGTGGGTCTCCCTCAGGACTCATCCTCCCAAGTAGGGCTACACCCTCCACCTCCAGGGCTGACCACCCCCCTCCATCTTTCAGAGCAAGGTCAAGTACATCAAGCAGACCAGTGCCATCCTGCAGCAGCGCTATGGCGGGGACATCCCAGCTTCTGTGGCAGAACTGGTGGCACTGCCGGGCGTTGGGCCCAAGATGGCACACTTGGCCATGGCAGTGGCCTGGGGCACCGTGTCTGGCATCGGTGAGTGGCATACACAGGGAGGGCAGGGCTGGCCACATCCTGTAGTCTGTGACCCCAGCTCAAGTCCCCTCACCCACAATTTAGCCCAAAGGGTCAGAAAGATGTTTCCCGCATTGAGCTAGGCCTGCCCCGCCTACAGGTGGGTACTAATGGAAGGAGTTCCCGTTTGCTGAGCACCTACCCTGCACTGGGCTCTGTGAGAGGCCCTGGGGATGGATTCAAGGTCTGTGCTAGGCACGAAGAAAGAGGTTGAGCACATAACTCCTTACCTGTGAGGTAGAAATACTCCCGGGGGGCGTGCATGGCACTGTCAGAACTGGCCCAGTCTGGGGCATCTGGGGAGACCTCCTAGAAGGAGGTGATAACTCAGCCAAGAGCTGAAGAGTGAGGGGGGCTGACCAGGCTGGGAGGAGAAAGTGCCATCCGGGCAGAAGGAACAACACCGGCATCCGGTGGGGGAGGGGGCCAGTAGAGGAAGGCTCAAGAACGGGCCCATGGGGGAGGCACGGTAAAGGCAGGGGGATGCCAGGGGAGGAGGTGCTGGGGGGAGCCCCTCCTGGAATCCATTTCCTGACATTGGTGGTGTCCGTGAAGTAAGACCCTGGGTTAGGCTGCAGCTGCTTCTTTAGGTCTTTGCCCAGACAGCTGGGGCTTCTGAGAAACCCCAGAGACTGGGGCCCGACCCACAGCCTCTCTGTATGCCCCCACCCTGGTGCTCCTCCGGAACTTCTGCAGGGGGCGGGGAGGGGGGCAGAAATCTCCTTAGCGCTTCCCAGCTCCCAAAGCCTGCTCCCTGGGGTGGGGACCCTTCTCAGCACTGCGCTTGGGCTGAAGGGCCGCTAGGCTAGAGCCCAGCAGCCCCAGAGACCGGCGAGGGGCCAGGCAGGGGCTAGGGCCGCCGCCCCTGATCCTGCAGCCGACAGCCTCTCAGCAGATGCTTGAGCTTATCTGGGCTGCTGTCCTTGCTGCCTGAGTCCCGAGTCCCAGGAGGGGTCTGGCAGGTCTGTGGCGGATGGGCCCACAGCGCAGGGAACAGGCCTTTGGGAGCAGGAGACATGCTAGGAGGGAGAGTCGGAATGTCACCCTTTCTGGATGTCTGTGGGCCCTGCCTCTCAGGGGCTTCGCCGGGGAAGCAGCCTCTCAATTAGAAAGCCAGAGCTGTGGGCTACAGCAGCCAATCCCAGCTCTGCCGTCCCAGCTGGGCGACCACGAGGCAATACACTTAGCCACTTGGAGCTTTGGCCACCAAGCTGGGAAAGCATGCAGAGGACCTGCCCGCAGGAGGCTCGCATGGTGTGCCGTGGCCCTAGGCTGGGCCTCTGGGGGAGGACCAAGGGTTTGGTCCCCTCTGGGGGACAGGCAGTGTGATCATTTCTGTGGTACAGGAGAGGAAGCGGAGCCGTGGTGACCCACTAGCATGACCCCTGCACCTGCGTGTGCTCCCTGTGCCCATAGGGTGTCCTCCATCAGCATCTGGGGAGGGCCTGAGGCTTTTTCCAGACCATTAGTAGCAGGGGAAGGGAACAGGTGTAGGGCTCAGGTTCTCTTTTGCAAAGCGGAGAGGAAGCAGGGACTACAGCTTGCAAGGAGAGCAGGTGCCCAGGCCGAGCCCTGGGGTGGCAGGCCCAGGGGAGCCAGGACCGCGGCCCACGGAGAGGACAGCTGCAGCTGGCCTGGCCCCACGCCCTGCTCTGTCCCTGGCCATGCCGTGGTAGGTGCGGGCACTGGGGGCCGTGACCTCCCACTGGCCTGCTGGGCCCAGCCGTGAGTACCCGGCCTGGCACTCACAGCCAGTTCCTGGGCCAGGAGGCACCGCTGCCTGCACCCCAGCTAGCAGGCCCTACCCTCTCGCTCAAGCCGCTGACCTGCCCTCCGTGGAAGCCCCGGGGATGGGAGCGGGGGAGACTCAGGCTCCAGGCTTGGGGCTGTGGGCAGGGCCTGGGTCCAGCCAGCGTGCCCTGTGATGAGCCGGTCCTGTCTCCCACAGCGGTGGACACGCACGTGCACAGAATCGCCAACAGACTCGGGTGGACCAAGACAGCGACCAAGTCCCCGGAGAAGACTCGTGCGGCGCTGGAAGCCTGGTTGCCCCGGTGCGGCAGGGTGGGGGCTGGGGGGGGCTGCCCTTGGTCTCCCTCCCCTGCTGACCTCTCACCTTCACAGGGAGCTGTGGAGTGAGATCAACGGACTGTTGGTGGGCTTCGGCCAGCAGACGTGTCTGCCCGTCCACCCGCAATGCCAGGCCTGCCTCAACCGAAGCCTGTGCCCGGCCGCACGCAGCCTCTGTGGGCCGTGAAGCCTCGGCCCGGCCACCGTGCGCTGGCCTACGCGTGCCTTTGCTGGGGAGCCACGGCCCGTTTATAATAAAGCTCGGGAGTTGTTTGCAGTGGGGGTCTGGCGGCGTCTTACCCCTGGGGCGTGGGGGCAAGCCGGGAAGCACATGCGTGAGCTGTGTGTCTGAAGGGGCTGCCTGGGAGGGTGAGATGGGGACGTGAAAATCTGGGCTGTGGACTGGGTGGGGGTGGGGGGTGACGGGTGTGCAGGAGCCTGGGACAGAAGAGACAGATGGTGGGAGGCCCGCTGGAGAGCCGGGCCTCCTCCCACCTGGGCAGCTGGCTGGGGATGCAGATCTACACCCGTCCCCTGAACTTTGGCACCCTGAGAGCTCTCTGCCAGGAGGCCCCACCCCATGTTTACAGAGCCACCTGGCCTGCAGAGTAACACCAGTAGGCCCAGGCCGGGTGCCACAGGACATGAGACCTGACCTGTGTGTACCTGCTGGAGTGGGGGGGGGCACTGTGTGAGGGCAGGGGCATCAAGGATCCAGAAGGCATGGAGGGCAGGGGAAGAGAGAAGCTAGCGAGGGCCCCAGGGTGTGCCAATGAAGGAGGGAGCAGGGCTCCAAGTTTTGGGGGTCTCCAGGGGGCTGGGGAGGGGGAGACAGAGCAGAAGCGGAGAGGGGTCAGGCTTGACTGCCGGGTGGATGGAGTGGGAGAGGCTTGGGAATGGGCCCCTGCTTCTAGCAGCTGAGAGTGGGGCGCCCTAGCTGCTGCCTTCCTGCCCAGACCACAGCCCCCCACCCACAAGTGAGGTCTCACAAGGACAGGCGACCACGGGTCTGAGGAAGGCCTGTTTATTAGGAGGGCGCGCATGCGCTATGGCTTACGGGGCAGACAGCAATGTCGGGGCTGGAGCCAACAGGAAAGGGAGAGTGGGTGGGGTCTCCTGGGGGCAGGCAGGCTCTCCCACAGCCACACTCCCCCTGCCTCGCGGCTGTGGCACAGGGACAAGAGGCCTGTCCCGAGACCACCCTCTTCAGGGACACAGGGCCTCCATCCTCGGGCCCCTGGAGCCCAGGCCCCGTGCCCCAGACCACAGCTGAGCAGGGACATGGGGGCCTGGCCTGGTGACCCCCGCCCCCAGCAGGGAGGGGGCGGAGGGGCAGCTCCTACAGCCACAGCTGGCCTCCCCAGCGTCACACTGAAGCCCCCACAACCACAGTCTGGCCCCCCTACGTTTTCCTCTGTCCCTGGAAGTGCCCGGGGCGCCCACTCGGGATGGCTGCTGCTGAGGGGTGGGGAGGAAATGGTTTGCAGAGAAAGGTTTGTTTTATTGCAATTACTTAAGAGAGGCGTCCTGCGGGGGCAGGGGCGGGGGCGGGACTCTGGTATTAAGTGGAAACATGTGTGGAACTGGAGCTCTCTCTCTTTTCTTGTTTTTGGAAGAAAAGCAAAAACACAAATTCCTTTAAGTCAGCAGGCCCGGGCAGAGCAGCAAAAGGGCCGGGCCCACGGTCACCACTGCCTCTCTCTGTCCCTCTCTTCTATCTCGGGGGGCCCCCTCTCCCCTATCCAGCACCCAGCAGGTAGGGGGGCAGGACGGGGCTCACTGGGGCGCACATTGGTTCCTGGGTGGTGGTGGGACCAGCACGGCTTCTGGGGGTGAGGAGGCACCCCCTCCAGTCCACTGAGGCTTGGGGAACTCTGGGCTGGGCCTGTGGGGCGAGGCCTGCGGGCCGTGCAAACAGGCAGGGAGGGGCTCAGAAGTTGCTGAAGATCTCGCGTTTCCGGTTCCAGTCCATCTGTGGTGCCCGCTTATTGACCCGGGTGGCTCTCGCCTTCTCCTTGGCTTCGGCCGCCGTGGGGCTCAGGTGGAGGCCACTCTCCTGAAAGGGGTCCCGCTTCCAGGTGCTGCTGTCCTGGATGGGGGGGGGCAGGCAGAGCAGGCAGGTGGCCAGAGTGAGTCCCGGACCCAAGCCCCTCGTCGGGTGACCCCTCCCGGGCAGCTCATATCCCCACAGGCCTCCTGGTGGGGCTGGGGCAGCGGGCCCCAGAGGGCATCCTAGAGGTGGTGACCCCACTGCCCAGGCTGTACAGAGGCCCACCCCCAAAGCCTCTGACCCCCCATGTGTGAGCACAGCAGTAGGGTGGGCAGGCACTTGCTACCTCAGTGTCCTTGTCTAAGCCAGGCAGATCACTTCGCGATGAGCACGCTGAGCCACCATTGACCTGGGAAACCAAGGGCAGGGTGTGGCTTCAGGGACCCTGCCCAGGAGCCACGGGCGCACATGCAGACGTGTGCCCACACGCACATCAGAGCTGCATCTAGTCTTCCATTTGGCAGGAGGCTCCAAGCCTCTACTGTACTCCAGGCCCAGCCTGGGCAGGACGCCGGACAACCGGCAGTGAGTGGGCAGGTGCTGTGGAGGGCTGGGGAGCCAGCCCTGGCCGGCTCACAACAGGAATCAGCCACACAAGCATCCCCTGGGGTGAAGCCAGGGCCAGCTTCCCAAGGAGTGACGACGGAGTGAGACTCCAGGTCGCCAGCCAGCACTGGGCAGAGGCATCCACAAGGCCAACAGCCGCATGGGGCTGGGGTGTGGCTGACCCAGGACAGGACCCACAGGGAGCATGAGAGCTAGAAGTGGTTGGGCCAGATTCGGTCTCACGGTCACACCAACACAAGGAGATCTTGAGGCCAGGCCTGGGGATCCCTAGAGATGCCCCTATGGTCTCCTGGGCCCACCCAGTCCATTCCCACCCTCTTACCTGGGCAGGGCTGGTCCCATTGGTGACTGGTGATGGCAGTGGGCCTGTGGGAACAGGATGTCAGTGGCTGCCCAGCCCCCCATGCTCCACCCCATCCCCAGGCCCCCAGGCAGCAGCCCACCTTCCACATGCTCCTCAGTGGGTGTGACCCGTAGCCGCTTGAAGTACTCGTCTGTCTCAGGATCCACCACCAGCAGCCGGGCCTCATCCTCCCTCGCCTTGATGCTGGCAACCACCTCTGCATGGCGCAGCCCCTCGACATTCTGCCCGTTCACCTGCCACCAGCAGCATGGGGTCAGCACTGCCGGAAGTCAGGCCCCTGAGGCCCCCTGAGCCACCCAGCCAGGTGTGGCATCAAATATTCATCAATGTTGTCACCAGCCGTGGCAGCAAGAGGAATGCCAGCTCAAGTTCCCAGCATCTCTCCTCTTCCCAGCAAGGACCTCCCTGCCCAGACACACACTGGGGGTAGGGGGGACATGGGCCCAGACAACACTGGGGGGCACATGGGCCCAGACAACACTGGGGGGGACATGGGCCCTGACAACACTGGGGGTGGAGGGGGACACGGGCCCAGATGCACACTCAGGGGGGTACGTGGGCCCAGACATACACTCGGGGTGGGGGGGACATGGACCCAGTCACACTTGCGGGGGACATGGGCCCACACACTTGGGGGGGACATGGGCCAAGACACACGGGGGGGAACACGGGCCCAGACACACACTTGGCCCAGATGCACACTCAGGGGGGTACGTGGGCCCAGACATACACTCGGGGTGGGGGGGACATGGACCCAGTCACACTTGCGGGGGACATGGGCCCACACACTTGGGGGGGACACGGGCTAAGACACACGGGGGGGAACACGGGCCCAGACACACACTTGGGGTGGGGGGGGGACACGGGCCCAGACACACACTTAGGGTGGGGGGGGACACGGGTCCAGACACACACTGGGGTGGGGGGGGACACAGGCCCAGACACACACTTGGGGTGGGGGGGACATGGGCCCAGACATACACTTTGGGGGGGAACACGGGCCCAGACATACACTCAGGGTGAGGGGGGGACACGGGCCCAGACACACACTCAGGTTGGGGGCAGAGGCCCAGACACACACTTGGGGGACACCCAGCATCCCAAAGCCTCCATGACAGGTACCTCAATGAGTCTGTCCTGGGCACGGAGGCCAGAGTGAGCAGCAGGTGAGCCTGGGTCCACGGAGCGGATATACTGTCCCGGCCGGGACTTGTCACTGTGCAGGTTGAACCCGTAGCCTTGGGGACCCTTTCGGAGGTGGCACAGCCGAGGGCGTAGCTCCCTCAGGGGCCCACCGACATCCTGCAGGCACATGAGACCAGGCTCAGTGCTGATCTCCCACCACCATCCCCCACCAAGACCGCTGACCCAGCCCGCCAGGCCTCCGACCCCCGGAATGCAGCTGCAGTGGAGGTGGGCTAGAGGAACCGGAACCCCACGCTCAACATCACGCCCCGCCTGGCAGCCCCAGGTCTCAGGGACAAACCCTCTGTACCCATGCCTGGGGGCCCTGGTAAGGTGCCTGTGACTGAGCTCCAGCAGCAGGATCTTGAGCAAAGCCTCAGTTTCCAAACCCAAAACAACTTCAAATGGGACCAGGGGCTTTACAGGGGTGTTAACAGGATCTGCTCAAGGGCAGCGCTGAGCCCAGGCCAGGGACCTAGGAGCAGCCAGGTGAGACAAGTGTCCTGGACTGCTATCCCTAGGGGGGTGTGCTGCCAGGAACCCCCTCCCCCCTCCCTCCCCGAGCGAGAGGCTGACGTTTGTTTTTTCTCCCCTTCTCCCTGTGGCGTCCATAGGGCTGGTGGCAGAGTGATGTGTTTGCTTTTACATTCCAGAGCAAGCTGGAGCCACCCCCACCCCCATAGGGCCCAGGGACAGGGCGCAGGGGCCGAGCCGAAGCGAGTGAGAAGGCCAAGGGTGGACCTGCCCTCCCACCCTCCCTGCCAGAACACAGAAGGCCCACGATGCCCCGAGCGCACCCCCCCGCCCCCTGCATCGACAACCCAGGGCCTCGCTTCGCTTTACCTCGGGCATCTTGCAGTAGGGCTGTGGGTTAGGGGCAGTGAGGGCAAGGGCCAGGCCCCAGGACGCCCCCCCGCCCCCGCCACGGCCTGGGGCCACGACCACAGTGTGGGTGGCTAGCGGCTGAGGGTGCTCAATTAAACATGGCGGGTGGCCGGAGTGCCTGGGCAGGCAGCCGCTC